AAAACATAAATCCTACTTTCGTGCTGCTCACTGAAACGTCTCCTTTATTTTTAGTAACTTTAATTACATATTTAAATTAGAATCCTCAACTCTTAAAAATTGCAACCTTTAGTGGATGTTTCAGTATCCTATTTTGTTTGGGGATGACCCAGCTATTCAATAAATTTCCCTCATTTAACTTAATTTAGCACAACTCTAAAATTTCAAGTTACCAAATATCTGCAGAGATCATTAAGTAGACAGTCCTAAAACAATTATTTCTAAAGAGTTCACCCAAAAGCTATCTCATTTGCGTTTAATTCACTTATAAGAATTTCATCATACCAAGTTAATTTTTTTTCTTTCTGCTGACAAACTGCAACAGAAACAAGCATGAATTTATTGACCTTTAGTAAACTTACATACAATAAAATACGTGTCTGTATTGATTATACCAACAAGCTTATGCTAGTTTTAATCAGTTATCAATTCAATAGTCAGTATTTCCTAGATCACATGAACCTGACATTTGTCTAGCTTCTTATACTTAGAAGTATTTAACTTCTATTTAATAGACTTAAAAGTAAATGCTTAGAACTCATTTACAAGTTAGTTTTTTTTTTACAAAGAATTTTTTTTTTACACAAAGAAATTTTTTTTTTTTACACAAATACAGAAAAAGAGAACTCAGGTTTTCCGCTTGAGTTTTAAAAACTTTTTTTTTTTAGAGCCCAGGTAGATCATTTACAACTCGAAGGCAAAGAGAAATGCAAATAGCTCCTTTAACTGCTTTTACAAAACCCAACCAACTTGGCTATTTTTAAGAATTTTTGTCACTGTTGTTCCCAAATATCCACTTCAGTTTAAAGAAATAACAGTAATAGACAATAGTACATATATCGACTCACATTCACATGTTTCAGTTTCAGCAAAACCAGGAAGAGAACAGGATTTGAACTCAGGTACCGAGACACCAACGCAACCCCCCCCCGCCCCCCAGAATAAAAGCCAAGCTGCAGAAGGCCCACTTTGATACCACAGCAGAGTCATTAGGGCCATTGTTTTCCAGATCTCAGGGAGTACTGAGCCACACAGTGTTACAATTTTAAAAAATCATTTTCTTTTATTCATGGAAGCATAGCTGAAGATCTCCCAGTTTTGCAAAACATACCCCAGGGCTCTGTTAACAGAGCTCTGACCATCCACACTTAATTATTCACAGCTGATGTTGTCAAATATCAAGCAAACAACAATTCAAAATGGTCTCTCAGGGTCACAGCTCCCTAGCCCCAAAAAGGGGGATTCCCCACCAACCCTCCATCAGTCCAAAAGGGGAGAACCCCAACCAATGCCCCAGCAGAGATGAAGTTGAATCCCAAAAGGGAAAAATCTCAACCAAAGCTCCGCCAACACAAGCGAAGCCAACGCACTAGGGAAGGATGCCCTGGAGTCGTCACAGGTGAACCTTGTTACTCACCAAAGCCCTCTCAACCAGCCAGCGCAAGTACTGACACACACACACAGACACAACAAACGTGGTCCCACAAACAAGGCACAGCCCAACAATTCCACTTCACTCCCAGACGGAGGCTTCCAGAGTGGCCTGGCTTCCGAAAGCCAATGGGCCCAGAGTGGCTCCCAATGAGCCTAGAACGGCTCACTTCCGGGAAGGGAAGGAGCCCAGGTGGAGCGGATAGAATCTTCCCAACCTGCTCAAGCCAGCACGGCTCACCCCAAAATGATACAGACAAAAACACAAACAACAAATAAGCTACAGTCACATAGAAA